CTTTTACATTCTTCACTTCTCATCTGTTCTGATCTGCTGCATTTGTAGCAGAAAAACAAAGAGGTGCAGGGTGGCCTGCATGCCCAATTACACATACCAACCATGGGAGAATGTAAGAATAGGTTAACATTGAAATGTGACTGAGAAATAACGATAATACAAAGAAGTGGTGGCCTAGTGGGTCCGGAAGGCTTCAGGTTCAAGTCCACCAGCTGCCAAGTTACCACTGAGGTGCTCTGAGCATGTCACTGTCCCCACACACTGGTCCCCAGGAACCTGAAAAAAGCTTCCCACTGCTCCCCTTGGTGATGGGTTAAAAGCAGACACTCAGTTTCGTTGTATCCTTGTGGTACAATGGCAATACAGACCATAAAATAAATAAAAATATCAATGTGTTAACGTGTCGCTCAACTTGATTTGAACATTTTATAAAGAAACCCCACCTGCTCTAAGTTTGAAACTACATTTTTGTTTCTGCGTAGAACAAAGATGTTTATCAGGCGCTTAAAGACAAATGTAATTACAGGTAGGAACTGTCTTCATTGGAAGCCAGTGAAAGCCTTTGCAAATATTTGGTTAGTGTGTTTTGCTCAGAAAGGGTGTTTGTTCAGATGTTTGTGGCAAAGTGCCAATCAATATGCCCAACGTGCAAATCCAGAGCGTGTATTTCACCAGGCTATGGTCCAGGACGAAGGTCTTCATCAGATGGTCAGCAAAGAACTGCAGGGGTGTTGTGATATTGTGGGTTGATTATACATATATCATATGTTTCTCACCCTGATTTTGTTTCTCTTAAAAATCTTACATTTTATCCCCACTATTGGCTGAGATCAAATCAGTCCCCAACTAAGAAGATCCCAGTAAAAGAATGTAGGCAGTTGACAGACAATGTTGTTATTAGCATTATTGTCAGATAATGTTAATGAATGACAGTGGCATGTCCATGTTAACTGTTGTACAATACAGATTTTCAAAATAAATGTGGATAAAATCAAAGTAAATCAAAAATATGAATATTGGAAGATGTTGACTCTTCAAACAGATTAGTGCTGACAAAAAGAATAAAATGGTTGTTTGTAACTGGCATTAGTCCCAGTTCAATATAAATACACTGGACCCCGAGATACAAGTTTTTCCTTGTGAAACTCAACCGAGGACGGGTATCCATTCAGTCTTTACAGCCTGGGGAAGCTGCAACCTCTGATGCCCCAAAGCAGCTGCCGGGTCACCTTTTGTTTGATTTTTAGTGTTTAATAAAATAAAATAAAATATATTATTTTATATAAAATAATTAATTAAAAATGTAATCTTATTAATTATATAATTATTAATAATTAATTTATTATAGATAATAAATTAAAATATTTCATATATATATATATATATATATATCTATATGTTTGTTCTCCTACCTTAGTGGCCCAAACACTCAGTTGTTATCATAAAATAAAATATATTATTTTATATAAAATAATTAATTAAAAATGTAATCTTATTAATTATATAATTATTAATAATTAATTTATTATAGATAATAAATTAAAATATTTCATATATATATATATATATATATCTATATGATTCTTCTCCTACCTTAGTGGCCCCAACACTAAGTTGTTCTGTCTCACTCACTGTCCCTCACTTGGTTATTTGACCAATTTTTATAACAATAACATAAAATGTTTTCTTAATTATTATTTTATATTATCATTACATTTTATATCTATGTTTTTGATGTTTGGATGGGGGGAAATATTACTAGTATATTTCTGGGGTGCTGGAACGAATTGATTAATTTTAAGTTAGCGTAAACCAAGAGAATCAGTCTCAGATGGGCACATTTTCAGTCACTTCTAAAACAAGGTAGTACTTCAGTAGTCATGAGATATTACAATCCTGTGTCTGCCTGCCCAAGTTGTCCTTAAATGTCTATGCTAATGATCACGTAGCTCAGCATAATATTTCTCTGCCCATGTCAGGCGGATGATTTTGATGTCCTGGGCAGGGAGCGTTCTATCCCAGCAGTACTCAGGGGAGAGCAGCTTAGTGGGTTTGTGCAGCCAGAAGTACTTGTTTAAATGACTCTCGTCGTGCCACAGGGCCTCCACGCCATTACGTTTGTCTTCCATGATGTTCTCCAAACATTCATCTGTAATATTCTTTACATTCTTCCAAAATCCTCCGAAGATCGCAGCGTGGTAATAGAAGTCTCCAGTGTACATGAACGCTTTGGATTTTGGGTTTCTGTCGTAAGTGAACCTGTGCTTTGGAAGATTGTAATAGTGAGCGTGAAGCAAAGCCACAGAATCCCCCAGAGCCTCTGAGCCAAAACGTCCTTTGAACTCCTGGTCCACGTCAAAGCAGAAGACGTACTGAAAGCTGTGACGAATCTCAGATTCTATGATTTCTGATATTTCCTTCATACGCATCATAGAGATGTCCTGCCACCTGGAGTGTTTTTCCACCTGAATCACCTTCATGCTTCGCTGAGGAGCAAGATCAATGCTTGGCACCTTCTCTGGTGTGTCTGTAAACACGTAGTACTTCACTGGTAACCCCAGCATAAAGTGTTGTTCTGCAGATGTGAGAAAGTTTTTCAGGTAGACATCCAAATATCTTTAGAATGAGAACGGAAACGCATTAGAGTCTTTGACAATATAAAACCTGGAACAGTGAGAATAATTTGACATTCTTGCAATTCAAAAAGGCAAACACACCGGCCTACAGCGAAAACAGTCAGCGCCACAGACGACTTCAGTTTGATGTGTAGTTGGTCGTAATCACGGTTGTCAAACATTTTCTCCCACATGATGGGGGCTCCCCAAGACGTTTTTGTCTGAACATTCAACCTGGCACTGAAATTATATACATATGTCAAAGGTTTTGTGCAATATAAGATTTGAGCAAAATAAGATATCTAAAAAAACTAAACAAAAAACAACAATTATTAATTATTAAGTTAATAAAAAGCTCTTAAAATGTGACCTTGTTGTTATACTGTGTGTGTACATTGTATAGAGTGTAAATTTATCTTATTGCCTATTAGGATTTTGAAATTATATTTCACCTTTCTAATTTAAATTCAAAAAATAAATAAATATTTACTCGTCCACATAGATTATTCCAGTACACTCTTAACAGTACTGTAAATTCACTATCTATTATTGCATTTTCTAAGTCTATTGGTTAAACTTCCTGCCAGTTCTCAGTAGTAAGATGATCATTTGCGTTCCTCCTTACCTCATTCACTGCCCTTTATTGAAATGTAATAAAAGGACCTAAATTAAAACTTTTTATAACCTGATATTTTATCCTTGTATGATGCTTACGGTTCTGATGTTAGAGAAGAGCGGACCTTTAGCCTCTTGTCTTTACTTCTCTCTGTCTGGTTGTGATGACAGGGGAAAAAGAGCTGTTGATATTTAGATGAAGATAATAAAATGACTCATAAAATACCCATAAAGGGCAAAGCACTGACACTGCAGTAGATAAACACTCACTTACTGCTAGTTCTGTCTATTTCCTTGTTTCTGCTCTATATACTATATATACTATATATATAATCTATATATATATGCAATTATTGAGAAAGTAACAGGAAAACAGCAACGTGAACATTTATACACGAGTTACGTTGTTAACGGTGAAAATATTTTTGTTTTCACATTATTCCATCGTTAATTCCATCATTTGGTTTAGTCAAATGATGCTGTTTTTTTTTTTTTTTGCCTTTCTGTTCCCGCTGTCACAGACTGATAAGATTATTATTATTGGTGGTTACTTATTGTCATGTTTAGCCATGAATGATGCATTTTTTACAGCTTTAATCAATAAATCCATTTACAACTTACAGTTTTGCAGCACAAAGGTGAAACAGAAGAGGTAATAAAAATGGTGGGAAAAAAAGGTGTGAATGATGAAGATGACACAGAGGTGAACAGGAAGAAAACATGGCAGGCAGCTGCTGCAAAGTGAGACAGTTCACAGGGAAGGGCAGAGCAGAAACAATAGAGGTTTGTTTGCTTTCATATCAAAAATGATACTAAAAAATAAACAAGATAAACCTCTTACCTAAATTTCAGTCTGCTGTCCTCATTGTTGATCTGTCTCAGGATCGTTTTTTCATTTAGCTGCTCTGGCTCCTGGGTGGTGTTCAAAATAATCCTTAAACCAGGGGTCGGGAACCTTTAAAGCAGAGAATATATATTTTTCAAATTTTTTACATATTTTTTCACATATTTTATTTTATTTTACACACTGTGAGCCATACAATATTTTTTTTTGTGAAGAAGATTACTGGATTGGACAATATTACCCTGTCAACTAAAGTCCAAAGGATATAGCACTGATGGAACTTGCCTTGGAAATATGATGTTAAAACCGATGACCAAGCACAAAAGACAGAAGATGATTATAACTATCATCATCTTAGAGATGGCACCCTGGTAAGAAACAAAAGAAAAATTAACAAAATGTGAATTTTGTTTATGCACAGATCATATTTAGGTTAAAAATGAGCAAGTATTTCTACATCTAAGAATCCTCAGTTGTTGAATCTATACAAAAAGTATGTTTAAAATTTTTTATTCTAAACAATACGACACACCACAACCTCTCACACAGTGTAGTGTTACACATCGATACCTGCGTTACATGATATTCTGCTGGCATTCAGTTCTGTTTAAAGATTTTCCTGTTGTAACAGGTGTTCCTATAATGTCCTGGTAACATTGTAACCATTTTGTTCGAGTGGAGTGTGTCAACAGTGCCAGTTTTGTTTAGAGTAAGGCCATGTTTTATGGAAATATTAGGATAATATTCATCAATTTTTTCAAACATAAGTAAACGTTATTTTTCCAAATATAACTCTTTGAGGACACAAGAAAATGCTTCATCACCGAAATAGAGATTATTTTTCTTGTTTTTCTGCTTGTATTTCTTATTATTATTTATTCATTTATTTATTTATTATTTTTTACTTCCCATGCATTAAAATGGCTTAAAAATATAAATGCTGTAGATCAGGCATGACCAACCTGTGGCTCGGGAGCCACATGCTGCTCTTTGCCCAGTTTCATGAGGCTCTTACGTTCACTAAATTGACCACTACATTTCTTTAAAACTTTATGAACAAATGTTTTGCTCCGACCATTGTTGCACCAGTAGTTAAATAAGGTTCTGGATAATGAAAAAAAAAAGTCTGAAAAACCTGAGAATGATACTTACATATTTAAACGCTGGTTTATATTCCATAACATGCGATGACCAATAAACTCAATCAGTCACTCTTTGGACTTCTGCTGCTTTCGAGGTTGTTGTATAAACATATGTGTATCAGGGTTGGTACACTGCAGGCCTAATCATGCAAGAAAGAAAGAACAAACTGTCTGCCCCGCCCCAAAACCCGCCCCCCTAACCATTTGGATACTGGGAGTGGCACCATCAGCAGAGAGACTGTGTCAGACATGTAGGGGTAATAGAAAATGTATTAAAAAAAAGGTATAGGCCAGGAAACAAAAACCAACCCACCACACAATCTGTTTCCTGTGCCTCTTGGATGAGAGGTGAACCATCTTCAAGAAACCTACCCCAGTTGCGCCGGATATAATTATTTTTGGATAAGATGGCCTGGATGACTGAGAACCTACAAAGACCACAGTTAACAGTAAAACTAGAAATGTACTGTAAACCTTTTAACATGATCAAAGGCACTTCTTTACTTAAAAGAAACAACATAAGTTCTAGGACGATATCATGGTATTTCACAACGGCATGTGGTGAGAACCATCAGATAACCAACAGGGTTGACAAACAACATGTTCACTTGCTTCCTCTTCTTATTTTTTGTCATACACGGGTTGCCGTCTGCTCCTATACTGATCAGGTACCTCATCACTGACGACACGAATGTGAAGTTTTTAAGAAAACACTTCTGTACGCAAAAAAATTAGAAAATGCTGTCAGTTGAGATGCAGCTTCAGCAAAAACAAAATCAGTTTTTTGAATTATTTTATTATTTATTTTTATCCCTCACGTCCCACATACTTGTGACATTTTTTTATTTAAATGTACGTGTTTCATCCTCTACCAGACCTGATGAGAGTGCAGCACAGATGGAGTTGATTTTTGAACCTGCTGTTTTTGCACAGTACGATGACTTTAAGGAAGGTAAGAAAGCAATATATATTTTTTTATATTAGCAAAAACCTGTTTATGACAACATATCAGGCATTTCTACAGGTCTTTACACAAGTGTCAAAATATTAAAGCACAGTGAAATAGTAGAAATGAGAAAACAAATGTGTCTACATGTGTTTCTAACAAGAGCATGTAATTAGTATATAAACATGTCATGTATGTCTGTGATTGTTTTACATGTTCCTGATGACGATTATCCGGTGACAGGCTGTTGCCAAGAGACAGAGACTCCACAGTTTTCACTGGAAGCTGGGAAACTTTATAGGCCAAATTTGGAAGACGAATACTACTAACACGCATCATGCAAACTTACAGAGAAGGGCGGAAAAACACTGACTTCTTCATTAGATTATCTCATGTCCCATTACAAGTGAGCAATCTGTCTGACACACAGTATATAGTCCAACTGCACTCCCTTTAATGGATGATGGCAGATGATACAGAGCACATTTTTCTATTTTACCTTGCTGTCTCTGCAGTGAATGCAGCGTTACAAATTCTATTAATTTACAGAGCCAAAAGAACTCCATGGAATTTTTTATCAAAACAACGACAGGGCCCATGAACCATTTGACCTGGGCAGGCCAACATGCAGTCCAGATCTGTCATCTTTTCGCATGAACCTTAAACATGCTCTCCTATGATATAATTTTAAATTGGAAATTAAGTTTATCCACAATTTTTAAATTAATTTTACAATCAGGTGTACTTTTTATAGGCCGAATGATTATATTTACCACCCCCACTGTTCTCTCTCAGTCAGGTAAAAGCTAGCTTGTCATTGATTTATTGTGTCACTTCCCATCTTGTATCTGATCAATGTTTTTCAGATTAATGTTCAACTAATCTTGAACAGGAACCCAAAGCTCACAACAATATCTATCATTCACTTCCTCAGAAGGCTGTTGATTTCACATTTTATAAAACAATATTTAACCAACTGTCCCTTGGAACTTGGGTTGATTTCTGAATCTCTGGTTATTTTAAAAAGTACATTTTCAATTGGTAAGTACAGTACCCCACACCTCATATTTAATCCTATGAAACCATTTATATCATATTTGCTACATATGATTTAGAAAGAAAATGTTCTGTTTTCAAAACATTATTTGTAAAATGAAAATATGTAGATAGTATAAATATGTAGCACTTTTTCTAAATTGTTGTGTTATGTTTAATAAACATCTCAGTTCCAAAATGAAACATTTTGAATTTTCTGTTTTTGTTATTTTGTATCAGGCTTTGCAGAGTAAAGTGCTCTGAACTCATCCTGTAGAATTATAATGTCAATGTGAATAATCCGCTGCCTAACCTTCATCTTGTGTTTAGGATTATAATGAGGAGTCACTGTGTGGTTAAATAAATAAACCCAACTAGTTAAAAAAAAGGAAATTAGTCTTTTATCATAATTTCCGGCCAGTTCAACCAAAGAGAGGTTCTAAAATAGGTGTTCTTTCAGTTCTATTCGATTTTAGGAGAACCACTCCCTGAGTGAGACTGAGTACAGCTGCAGGAGGGGCTGACTGACAGATTCAAATCTTTCATTTCTTTAACTGGCTCCTCTCTATCTTTGAGAGTGTGTTTTATGATGTGTAAAATAAGTGTTAAAAACATGGTACTGCACGCTGTTGTCTGTGAGTTTGCATTGTGTTCTTTTCCCCCAATTTTTGATTCAATCATTTCCCCTAATACACAGGTTTGGTGTCCACAGTGACACGATGAGCATCCTCTTCAAAGCACATTAGCGTTGCTAACCAAGCGACCAGTCTAGACAAGATCAGCAACATCAGGCAGGTTGACCTCAGAAGGTGAACCTCTCAGACCTGTGTGACCATTCGTTGAGTGTCTGCTGAACTCTTGGAGAGCCCTCACTAATGACATTGGCAGCTAGACACGTAGAACTGTCTCGGAATTGTCCGATGAGTTGTCATGATTGACAGATGGATGGTCATTTCTGCTGTTGGCAATTGTTGCAAATCTTGGCGACACTAAATACCAGAAACATGCTTTGACTTTTGCTCTATAACCACACCTGTCCCTCTTTATTATTGTCATTTTCTTTATAGTCCTTTCTTTTATTTTACATCATTGAAGTTGTTCACCCAACCTTAGTCAAACTTCTCACACAGAACGTGGACAAAAAATGCAGAAAAACATGTCACAGCATACATTTCTTCAACTCAGACAGGGGTGTAGTTAAAAGTAAAACAAACAAACAAAACTAACAGGATACACTTTTGATCTTTTTTTCATATCTTTTAGCTTCACACAGGGAAATTCCATGAACCAATATTGATCTTATTTATCTTGAAAATGAACATTTCTACTGTTCAGTTCATCATTTAATCATGAAATATTTGTATCTGTTCCTAAAATTAGATTTTTTTTATGTACAACCCAAAACAAAACAGGTCAGTGTGTGACCTGTTTTTTTTTACATGTTTGTGTGTGTATGTGTGTGTGCACAGTCACTCTATGACAGCAAATAAAGACAGAACACTGTTTGGTAATCTTAGTTTTGTTTTTTTAAATAAAGGGTAATTCACACAAAAAATGAAAAAAAGGAGATATTTCACAGACTAGTTGTTAAAACAAAACAATTTATTATTTTAATTACAGATATTAAATTATTTATATATATATATATATATTTATATATGGCATATCTTTACACCCCCTTTTCTCCAACACCTATTAAAATACAATTTCTCCCACTGTTTGACCTCAGGAGATGTGAATTTTATTAAAGTGACCACATGTCTTCATGTTGATGGGTGTGTGCTGAGGGGTTACAGTAAACTACTGCTGTTATTATATCATCTGAAAAGGACATACAGAGATGGTAGAATTATCTCTTCTAATCAGTAAAGATGTGAAATGTACATTAATGCAGTCTTAATGGCCATGAGTCTGGTCATTTTAATAATACTTAGGTAAAAAATGCTTCATTTACAAATGGACAGGAATTGAAAGATTTATTCACCTGAAAACACTTCATGACTTTAAAGGAGAACTGCGGTCAATTTGAACAATTTAACAGCATCTCTGCTGTTGGAGGTCTGCGGGCACAGTCTCGGTGAATAAATATGAACTGAATTTTTTAAACAAAACATTGTACAATTGGGTCTGTAAAATAAACATTTTTTTGGTCTCGAAATATTCTCAGAATATGATTACAAATGCAAAGTAACACAAAAATATTCCAAAGAAGACCCAAATGTTTTTCATCAATTTGAACAATAAAAAAGAAAAATACCTTGGTTTTTTAACTATGAAATCTGTTCTCTTTAATGGAAGAGTTAACTATAATCCCATTGATTTTAAAAAGAAAAGACCAGGATAATCATTCACCAGTGATAATGGCATTAAGTCATACTTTTTCACCCACATCAAACAACAGAGCTCTGTATGGAAATACCCGGAGATGGGAGGTTTACAATTGGCCGCAGCCGATCCCAGTTGGCTTTGGGTAAGATACTGTATATTTACCCTGGGCACGTCACCCCCTAGTGACCGTGGTAACTAAGGTAGGCAGTAATGCACCAATCATGTTTATTCTGTTCAGCTTTCCATGACAAAGTAATGGTTTGATTAGCTGTAACCTCTGTTTGAATATAACTTTATCAACAGTTTTATAGTTGGGAGGTGAGTCTGTGCTGATCACCAAAAGGGTAGTTTATGGCTTGTAATATTTAACCTCATCCTGTCACAGTTACAGTTACAAGGCAGGAGTGGCAAATTCAGGCTAACGAGCCACACTCACAAATATATATTCAACATGCACCATGTCATTTTTCTGGTTATCATTGGTACATTCAATCTGTACCTTTTTAAAAACTCAGATATATTTATTTTTGCTTGATTTTGTCCTCCTCTGCATTGACAAAACAATACTTTATTGGATCAATACTTTTTTTTTTATTGTAGTACAGTTCATTGAGTTCTTCCAACCTCACTCATCTTCCTGCCTTTTATTATTCAAAACATTCTACACAATGGTGGTCACTCAGAAGTGATATTGACCAAATAAATGTGAAATCTACCAAATAAACGCCGTTACGTTGCTTGGACCTGTATTTACTGATGACAGGATCAGATTTCTCATCATAACTACAGTAACATGAAGCTAACTTCACAAGTATTTCATAAGTATCAGGACTCAGCCATGTGTGTGTATTTTCCACTGATTTGGAGCAGAGAGGAACAAGTGAAGCCTGTCAGGCACCGAGTTGAAATAGAAAATACAGTGGGGCAAAAAAGTATTTAGTCAGCCACCAACTGGGCAAGTTCTCCCACTTAAAAAGATGAGATAGGCCTGTAATTTTCATCATAGGTACACTTTAACTATGCGAGACAGAATCGGGGGAAAGAATCCAGGAATTCACACTGTAGGATTTTTAATGAATGAATAAGTATGAAAGTATAAAAGACACTTGTCCACAACCTTGAACAGTCACACTCCAAACTCCACCGTGACCAAGACTAAAGAGCAAATTGTAGACCTGCACCAGGCTGGGAAGACTGAATCTGCAACAAGGGGGAACTCGGTGTGAAGTAATCAAGTAAGCAAAAGTATGGGAGAATTTTTTAGAAAATGGAAGACATACAAGACCACTGATAAACTGCTTCGATCTGGGGCTCCACGCAGATCTCCCCCCATGGGGTCAAAATGATCACAAGAACGGTGAGCAAAAATCTATAGAACCACACGGGGGGACCTAGTGAATGAACTGCAGAGAGCTGGGACCAAAGTAACAAACGCTACCATCAGTAACACACTACGCCCCCAGGGACTCAAATCCTGCAGTGCTAGACGTGTCCTCCTGCTTAAGCCAGTAGATGTCCAGGCCAGTCTGAAGTTTGCTAGAGCATTTGGATGGTCCCGAAGAGGAATAGGAGAGTGTCAGATGAAACCAACATTGTACTGTGAAGCATGGGGGTGGGAACATCATGCTTTTGGGCTGTTGTTCTGCAAAGGGACCAGGACGACAGATCCGTGTAAAGGAAAGAATAAATGGGGCCAAGTATCGTGAGTTTTTGAGTGCCAACCTCCTTCCATCAGCAAGGAAATTGAAGATAAAACATGGCTGGGTCTTTCAGCATGACAATGCCGAACACACTGCCCGACGTGGCTTCGTAAGAAGCATTTCAAGGTCCTGGAGTGGCCTAGCCAGTCTCCAGATCTCAACACTATAGAAAATCTTTGGAGGGAGTTGAAAGTCTGTGTTGCCCAGCGACAGCCCCAAAACATCACTGCTCTAGAGGAGGTCTGCATGGAAGAATGGGCCAAAATACCAGCAACAGTGTGTAAAACATTTGACCTCTGTCATTGCCAACAAAGGGTATATAACAAAGTATTGAGATGAACTTTTGTTATTGACCAAATACTTTTTACAGAGGATTTTACCAATTAATTTATTAAAAATCCTTCAGTGTGATTTCCTGGATTCTTTCCCCCATTCTGTCTCTCATCCTTAAAGTGTACCTATGATGAAAACTGCAGGCCTCACTCATCTTTTTAAATGCGACAACTTGCACAATTGGTGGCTAACTAAATACTTTCTGTCCCACTGTATGTACCAGTGGGCGGCCGAGCGATTATTCTTTTCTAATCTAGATCGAGATCTAGATCTAGATCTAAATCAAGCTGTTGTGGCCATACAAAAAAGTGAGGCCCTGGTTACGAGACAATAAAACAGGCCTAGAACGTCACCTTCTTTTAAGGAGTCATTATTGAACAATGTAATACAGATAGTGGATGTCAGAATGTACAACCAGATCCTGAATCTTTTTGCCACATATTAGTTTTCTTTGTATCAACGACTGTGTTTAAACACCTGCATAAATGTGCAGCAGCTTGTTCTTATTCCCAGTGTTCCATGTTACTTTTGTCAACAACACGGACGAACTCTATTCACTTGTGCAAACATGGATGAACTGAATGTTTGTGTGCTGAACGTTTTGCGGTTATCTGGAAACAGCCTTTGATCAACACTTCACAACCAACTGTTCTCTGTGTGTCTTTCTAAACAGACATCACTAGTTTGGTGCATGTTTTTCACTCTGAGTACAGGAGGCTCATCTGAGTCCAAATATTTGATATATTCTACTCTGTCAGTTGTTAGTGTTTTTTTTAGGTTTCTGAGTTTAGGTGATACTGTATTCGCCCTCCATGCAAAATATGCTATGTACAGTGTAAAGTAGCTGTGGTGAGAGTCAGGGCAGTGCTATTCCAAATAGATGTCCTCTGTAGGGCATGAAAACTCCACAAACTCTTTGTAGTACAACTGGAAGGCTTTCCTGTAAAACACAGACGTTAAGACGTTAAACACTGCACCCTACACTTCCTCCGTCATTTCAACAATGGCTCTGTGAGGAATGTGAGTCTTTCTTTACGTGTTTCTAGGTAGTCATCATCAGCAGCAGCAGAAGTGCAGAGGTTTTGTCTGTGCTGTATTTTCACAACAGAATATAATACCAATACCATCCAGTAAGTACTGCATTTACATTTTTGATGTTTAAATATTTCATAAATACATACATTTACTACTATTCTAAAAGTTTCATTACCTCATTGCTTATCATTCACTCATATAAAATCATAAAATTGAAAGATGTCAACTCACCCAACTGACTCTGCAAGGGGTTTCGTGGAGTTTTCAGACACAAACACGTGGCAGGCAAATCTCTGGTCCGCTGGGTGTTTAGTGATGAAACCAAAATATCTGCAGAGAAGAAGAAGCTCAATTCTACTAGTATATTACAGTGACACCCTGTGGCCTAACTATTCAATCTCAAGCAAATTCTAAAATAAAATGTTTAGTTTTTAGGAGATTTGGTATTAAAGATGTACTTGTAATTGTTTAATTTGCTAAACTATTTCATTTTTTTCTTTTAAACAATCTGAAACAAAGCTAGTCTTGTTTTTTTGTTTTTGTTTTTACCTTATACAATGTTAAAGATAATTCTTTTGATTATGAAAAGGGGTTTCTGCAACATCGACTTACTTGCTGTTTTTGGGGTGATAGCCACAGAAAGAGACGTTCTTCAACTGGAAGAAATGACTGCACTCATTACTCTAAAAGTAGACAAGAAAAAACAAAATTTTTTCAATATGTGGAGTGCATAACAAAATTTCAAAAGGTATATATAGGTTCACTTAAGAGCACTTGATTCCAGGAGCATGAGAAGGTGCTGCACTACTGCGCGCTGCCATCTTGCATTATTCATAAAATGTAAAATATAAAAAATGTTTGTATATATTTATATATACAAACACACATACATACAAATATGTATGTATGTTTGTATATATGCATACACACCCATACATACATTTTGCAATATGCAATACATAATTGTATATAAGCTCTGACAAACGGTTCCTCATTTTAGTTACGTCACTGCTAGAAACCAAACCCTGACGTAAGTGGAGGTCCGCCCATATATCACAGTCATACTACTGCTGTGGCTTACTCCGTCACAAGTATAATAATCCTCCTGGACGGCCAGTTTGATTCCCTTCACGCTGATCTCCAGGATGCAGGACGAGGGTGGGTTGTACTTGACTGTCATCTTTCTGTTGGTTGCAATCTGTTAAATACAGGTTGGTGATTGTCAGTCCAGTGGTGAAAGAGACAAACCTTTGTAAGACCACTGTTTCAAATCAGTTAATGTAATTTCTAAGACATTTTAGGGAACAAAGGAACTGTTTCTTTTTTCATTTTACTGATTTAATATTAGCTCTACTTATGAGAACGTTTTAAAATGCACAACATTTAACCACCTCTCTGTAAAGTAGTTAGCATTAAATAAACCTCATTGTCCTTTTCAAATGCCATCCCTAACTACTAAAATGAATTTCTCCACTTCTTCAAAGACCTCATTCATTAAAAACAATTAGATCTCTTTACCTTCTGCATTGCAGCACACAGAACATCATTTCCTTTATGGAATGGCACTTGGACTGATCCCAGAAACTTCAAGTTGTAGCTGTCCATCCATTCACTGCTTGTGACTGCAAACAAGAATAAAGGGTGACAAATTATACTAATCATTCTGAGGCTTATTTCAAAATTTTAAACTTGGATGTAACCTGACCAAAAATCAATTGCAAAACATAAAACATTGTTTGTATTCAAAGCACCAAGTACCTTTGCATTTCTCCGGATCTTTTGCCACTTCTATAGCATAGAACGCAGGGAAGATCCCATGAGCACCGGTTCTCATGTTGTAGCCCTCATACCAGTAATCCTCCGCCTGAACCTCCACCAGCAACGGATCGTCTACTTCCAGTTCCAACTCATCTTCGTGTCGGGGAACAAACCTATCAACAGGGATGTGGTGATGCAGCAGATGTCATGCACCTTGGTCACATCATATGACCTAAAATGGTCAAAAATGCTTTTCACATGTCAAGAACAAAGAGTTCCTTCAAGAAAACAAAAGTCACGTTTTATTAAAGGAGGCATTTATCACGACTTGGCTTTCAGCAATGCATTAATGATGTCCCATGTCATCACATGATCTCTACAGACATACTGTGGAAACACTGCTGTCCACATGACTCCAAACCCTCCAGCATATCAGCATGAAGCTGAAAAGGCTGTGAGGCCGGTTATCTGCAGGGTCCGTGTCTTGATGAGGAAGTATAAAAAAAAAGCTACAATTGAAAAAAGTCTTTGAAGCAATATTATCAGTTGATTATTTCCCTCCTGGCGCATTACTCCATAGTGCAGTCCACTTTTAACAAAAATCGTGATGACAGGATGGTAAGTAATCATATCAGTTGAATTTATAATATAATATAATATAATTCACATGAAACAGAATGGATCAAATCAAAGGTATTTTTCATCACAGAAATTCAAAATAAAGTGACAACTAATTTTACTTGAATTACAAACAGTGCCTATGGGATGGTAAAAACTGGTGAGGTAGATGTAGAGGCTCCTTCACACCTGTAGACGGCCTTGTGGCTCTGGTCTCTCTCCTCTCCGTTTATAAGACATGAGAAGACGCCAAAGGACTCTGCACCTTCATCATAGACACAGACAGAGGGATGTATTATAAACTCAAGAGAACGTTGGAAAAAGCTCAACTAAAACTAAACTGTATTGAAGATACACACTGACGAGAGTCTTCTTACGTTACGCTGAGATACATGTGTGACTGCTTCCTGAATTAATTACCCTGGTTATACTTTTAGAAATCTTTTTGCGATATACACTTAACTCCAAAGATTTGTGATTTTGAAGGTTCTTGCTGAATTATTTTGGAGATATTTCAAAGCTCTCTGTCTGGAATGAACCTTTGGAACTGCATTTGCTCGCCTACGGGAATAAGAGTTAGACAACCCAGTCCTTTAGTGTTGTTAAGAAGGATTTCCATGAATTTAAAATGGCTCAGAGTGTTTTAGGTTATTTTTATGTGATTGGATTCGATTTTACAACCACACACACATGTCCACAAACACACTAAACAAATATACAACTACTACTATTACTATTAAATATACATCTGCATTTTGTTGTTCACATCATCAGATCACATCCTCTTTAAATTTGTTCTCATTGAATATGTGTAAATGAAAAGTGGAATGTGAATATATTTGCACTTGAAACACAGTTCATATTGCATCACGTAGTGTACAACAAAAACATCATTGCTGGAGGCAAAGTCAACATAAAATTTTACTTACTGGAGGAACTGGAACGCCCGTTCAGGAAAACATTAAGGAATTTCTTAGAAAAGTTCAGGTCTGATTCTGGAGTAGAGTCCTCAGACAGACAGGCGGTTGCCTCTCTCCTCACTCCTCCTATTCCAGTTCCATCCTCCTCCTCATCATCCTCAAACTCTTCCCCGATTGCAGACTCATAGGGAGAGGAGACACAGTTGTCATAGATGGTGGCCGTGTCACTGTCGTCACTGTAGCCTTGGTAACACTGACGCAGACTGACCAGCTCGAGCTGAGAGTGCTCGTCCACCACCAGCGTGTATTTGACTGAGTCATAAGAGAGGCCGCTGGCCTCAGAGCACATGGAAGTCCTAAGTGGGGCAGTTCTTCTACCTGCACTGCTATCATCCTTTCCTACACCCTTTCTCAGTCTGCCATCCATCATTATTCTGTCCACGTCCTCGTCCTCTCCACAGTAGCTGTCGTCTGTAGCGTCCACATATTCCACTGAGGAGCCCGCTCTTAGCATAACTCCGGCTCCTGTAGCTGAACCCTTCAAGCTGAGGTCCAAAGCAAGAGAGGAACGACCCGAGAGCACGGCGGCCGGTGGCGTGATGAGTGATTCTACACAGGAAGCGTACGAAGGTGGGGGGTCATAGACCTCTTCCTCCTCATAGATAGAGGGATTGGTCCGGTCTGGGTGTGGCTGGTAGGGAGGTGGGCCCTCAGTGTCTGAGCTGATGGACATGCGGCCCTGCTCAGTCTGTTGTGAGAGGAAGGGTCGGTTCTGCGAGTTCGAAGGTTCTAGAGCCTCAGCAGAACGCTGCAAGGGAGTCAAATAAATCTCCTCTGTGGGCTCAGGGTGAACATCAGTGTGATGCCTTGTCCTCTCCCGGGGATGCCCTGCTTTTACTTTTCCCACTGGATATAAAGGTGCTGGTGTGTAGTTCCGGGGCGGTGGAGGAGGGTCTGGGGGTTTCTCCTGCAGCTTGGAACGTGTCACTGCCGCTGAGGTCGAGCTCTGTGAATGCACAGAGCTGTGCCGGCACGGGGCGTCTGTTGATGTCCCACAGTCTTTGGTCTGTGCGCCCCCACCTTGCACCCTGTCTTCATCACTCAAACAGCTGTGCTCATGTGGAGGGCTGAGTTCACCTGCAGGGAGCACAGATGCAACAAGAGCGTTAGGGCCTCGTGGAGGAGGAGGGTGAAATCCACATCCACTGTTTCCTTCTGGAGTCTGTGTATGTACTTCCTGCTGTCTCAGTGGTCTGTGAGTACTATATATATATATATATATATATATATGCAGAGGTGGTGATTAGATCAGTTCAACACTGCAGAATGACTATAGATGTTTGACTTTTCTTTTTTCAGTGATAAAAATTTGTATTTAGTAAAAAAAAACTTTATTATTGCTACTGGAATCATTGCTAGTTGGGTAAAGGTTCAGTGAGTCATTGATCACATGCTGCTGTGAATAAAGCTGTTTAAATGGGTTGCTACAGCTCTAAGATAAATAAGCTCTAAGCCAGAACACACACACACACAGACAAAATTATCTATTCTTGCTTTTTAAACTTAGTGACACAGAGCCCACAGGGATGACTAGAAATAACAGACACAATCTGTATGTTTGGGTTTTGGCCAAAACAGACCAAAAACATAAAAAGCCTTTGCTGACAAAACTTGTACTCACCGGTTTTTAAAGGAGACGACGAGCCCGACACTTTTTCCTGCCAACTGTATTTCTTTCCAAATGAGTTGTTGTTTAATGTGTCCTGTTGACAGGCAAGAAAAAGAATGGAAAGCAAAAAAGAAAAGAGAGATTACAGTTAAGGCTGGTCACTCAGTTCTTGATCATGTAACTCTATACACACACATTTGTCCCCTTCTCTCTCCTCTCTCTCCCGCTCTAACCCCGCTCCCTCTCCCTCTCTCTCTGCCTTCATCCTTTTGAAATAGCAGGGATTCTTTTGTCTGTGCTCTGTGATGTGCATTTAAAGGGAACCGGACATTCTACACAAGCTGCTGAGAACACGAACACACACACTGGGTGTTTTGTGTCTTATAGGCACTTCACATAGACATAGTGGACCCCCATCCCCTCACCCTAACCTAAATAAATAACATACACATCTACTTGTCCTAACAACTAGTGCAATCTGCTCATATTTTAACTAAATCTTGAACCATAAAACTACTTCTTTATCTGTACAAGGACAGAGTCTCACTAAAACAATATTTAAAAAAAAAAGTTCCAATACATTATACACATAATACTTTCAATGATCATGAACATGTCTTGATCTTTTTCATTTAAACCAATTGAAACTGCCCAAAGGAACTGGCTCTAAAACACAGCTTACAGAGAACTTCCTTTCAAATGCAAGAGAAAAAAAAAAGGAAATAGATATTCCTGGATTTAACAGGTACTTTAATACCATTGTTGGCATGTGATTAAGCTATAGGTCTTCCGGAAACTCCCGTGACAATGATGCACTTCCCACAATAGCATCAACAGGTCAAAAGCTTCAGCCACCCACAGCATGAGTCATAAATTGAATCACAGAAAAAAAAAAAAAAAATCAATGAGAGAATGCATCAACATGAGGGAAACATCAGCAGCTGTTACAGGAAGTCACTGATCGAGTCACTTATATGACAAGCCCTTAACATCCTGACCTGTACATTATTCTAAAGCTAGAAAATGGTATATTGACATCATAGGGTAGAAAGAATACTGAAAAGATTTTATGCACACATTAGCTCTAATCGCTCATCAGGTGTATAAACCTCAGGTGTCTCTCCTGTTTGCTGAAGATTTATATCAAACACCAGCCTATTAGGGGCATTAAGCTGTTTGTGATCTGGTCTTTGAACAGGTTCAAAGTTAAACCTTGTCATTATCAGGATCTGCAAAACAATTTGTCCCCACTTATCTAATGGTATTAGGTTAGCCATCCGATGAAATAAGCTTGTATTTTCAAAGAAGGTACAGTAGCAACAAACGAGTGCTGATACAGAATGTATCTGATACATTGTTTGATCAATATCTCTTCAGTTTTATGTCTGCGTAAAACTAAGTAGGAGAGAATCTTAAAAGTTCAACTGGTGGGGGTTAAATAGGTGTTAAGGATTTGTAAGAAAAAATTAAGTCTCTTTTTGTCAGGATGAGAAAAGAACTATAAATGAAGGCGATGCATTCATTATTCATTCACTCAGTCACAAGCTCCAGCAGCGTCCAAACCCAAACAGAGACAGGCACTGGTGTGTCGTGACAATGGAGGCTATTGTTGTAGTCTGGATAACAAACCCTGTCAGATGGTAAACTCTGTAGAATCTGACAGTGATGTCACACTACAGCTGTGCTTTATGAAATAATATGTTTTTAAAATATTCAAAAAATATTCAATATTCTTAATCCTATAACAGATTCACAGAGCTTTACCTGTGTCCGTGGAACAATTGGGAAGAGGTTAAGGGTCGTGGGCCTCTTGGGCCGATAGGTATCCATGGTAACAGGTGCTATAGGGTCCTTGGTGACTGGTGGAGGTGCAGTAGCAGATGCCTTCAGTGACTCCTGGTCACTATGATAACCGTCGGCGCCATCTATGAGATCCAAATGCAGAATCTCTGCCTGTAGCTGGCCAACGGCTCCTAGCTCTGCCCTCCCCGACATACTATTGGTTCCTCGTCTTACGTGGCCCTGCAAGGATTGGATAATGCACTCTGTAAGGCAAGGCAGTAGGGGAGAGAAAGAGAGAGAGAGAGAACTGTGCATGGAGATGCTAAATGTAGGTGATGATCATGGGATGAGGTGGTTGAACCAGCCAATTAGAAACAATGCCAACATTGATCTGGCAGAGATTGTTTTTTTTCCAGCCGACATGATTCTGTTTATATAACCCAATAAAAGAGGTGTGAACCCCACCCCACCAGAAGATAACATTCAGTATTTCATTCATTTTCATGTTATTTTAGCCTCGTCAATTTGACCAGAAAAGCTAGAGCATGCAATATAAATTTATAATAATATACATTTACTGTAGGATCAAATCAAATGTATAACTTTATTCATTTTTGTTTTTCTATGACAATCAGATATAAGTTAGTGCAGAAAGACTTTGCCTTTATTTCAAATCATTATTCAAGTTAAGGTGGAACACAAACTAATACAGTATGGTCATGGAAAGTAAGGATACAAAAGCCTAACTCTTTTTCCAGTATGGCTCCAGGCTTACAGTGAATAGGCCATCACTACTACATGTTTATATATGTGTTGTTGCTTACCATCCTAAACAACATCAAAGCACACTTCTGGTAATTTATTGTCCATTATTGTAAATACTCCCTCCTTCCGGATCAATATTTGCTTTAGCAGAATGTTTGTACTGTTCTTGTCACGGGCCCTTTAAGACAGATCTGAACCCTGTTGCTAGGAGACAGGGTGCTCAGTGAGGAGGAGGACGCTGAACAAATGCTGTTGTCTTCATGATGGAATGATGCGTTTCTCTAGACCAATAGGAGCAGCTCCATAAGGGGAATCACAAAAACCAAATATAGCAACACAAGAGGGAGGGGAAATTCATACCTTAATACGTGAATTAACTTTTTACATTGTGCAAATCCAGAATTATTTGGATGATTACTATTCGATAGAGTGATTAATAGAATCGACTATAGATTAAAGCATCTCTAATTTTATGTTGCTGACTCTTCTGTAGTAGTCTTAGATAAAAAAAAAACAGGATAAATGGATGAGTAGTAAAAAGTATATAATATCTGAGCAGGTCTCATTGGTAACCTTATGCTGATGAATTTCCACGAGCAGTTTCTGGGGGGGAAGTGCGTGTGTTTGTGGTTGCGTGTGTCAACGCTGCATGTATTTTCAGGTCTTACATGTGCATGAGTAGGCGAGAGAAATACTGTTGCCATGGAAATAGGCCAGTGTGTTTCACACAAACACAGCCCCACACATGCAGTGCATATTTCTCTATACTCTATACACTTTAACAGCTGTGTCACTTGTCAATGTCATGGATCAAATATATATATATATATATATATATCTATTAATAAAAAATATACTTGCTGAGTTATTTATGATGAAACAAAGAAAGTATTGTATAGGGAATATGGTTTCTGTGAAGGTACAGATTTTGGTCATTATTCTCTCTAGTGGGAAACTTAACCAGTAGGTGGCAGTAATGAGAATCAGGCCATGGTGCTCACAGCTCACAGGATTATCTAGATTTAACTCAGAGAATCAACTCACCATCATAAGTCATAAATCTAAGAGTGTAGTGACAGGAGACATCTATGTTCAGCTGGAGAATAATTCAGTTCGTTGTGGAAGTTTCTCACAGGAGAATCATCACTTCTCCTAGGACAGTTCAGGGAAACTCCAAGACTCTTTTATGATGTGACCTTACAGATTTTCACATTGATGTTGATGAAACCAAACAGATTAAAGTTTGCATGACTCTGAAGGAGCCCTGGTCGTGATGCTGAACAAAAAGGGTGAAATCATCAGCTAAACTAAAGTATTAGTGTCAAATCCTGAGCATGGCACCATCCCCACACACTGCTCCCCGAGGTGTGCAGTCGTGTGCTGTGTCACAATGACAAATAATTCACTTTTTTCTTTCACTTTCTTCTTTCTATTTAAGAAACTGCACGTGCCAGAGAGTCACTAATAAAATGTGCACATTATAATTAATGCCACAGATAAATCAAATACTTATGACATTCAAAATCAATACATCTCTGTACATGCAGTAAATCAAATGGTTACCATATCACTGTTTTAGGTCCTATGATACATAGATTAAAGCCATCTGAGAATAATCAGCCAAGATTATCATCCTGTGCGTATCATAAGAACTCAACGCAATGTATTTTGGCAACTAGTACCTTTGTCTTTATCATATCCATGTGTGTCTCTATACATGCGTCAACACACCCTTCTTTCTCTTTGTCCCATCGTGGCAGACACTCTACGGGTCTGGGGTGTGTGATGCTCCATCGATACGACTCTCTATTATTGATGAGACCAGACACATTTAATGTCCCCCGGGATAATGAGATCACTGATGAGGTCACCAGTCTGTGGCTGTACATGTACACATTTAAAGCTCCCACATGAATTGATCACAGTCCATG